AAAAGAGTCATTGAAGTTTGAGGAGAGTCGATTTCACTCTAATTTAATAAAGCTAACTAGATTGATAACAGACACCCCCTGCCTGTTGATAATATTATGTTCTGTTGATCATCCATTCTGCTGGCAAATATGCTAACGAAATGAAAGTGATCACAAACACAATGCAGTTAACATAAAACGGTAGGCCTGTATTATAGCTGCATACCACACAACAGAGAAGAAAAATTGATGACCAATCCACAGAGATAAAAACAAAATTTTCAACTTACCATTAATCATATTAAGTATTTGAGAAAACTACACACACACACTACTAATTGAGAAACATAAATCCTAGGATTATTGCAGTAAGTTACATGTAATACCATTGTAATTGTAATTTGGAAAACTTTTTTAAAAAACACGAACTTTTAAAAACAAGCGTGAAATGACCTTCCAAAGATTACGGTAAAACTAACATTTGTGTGTAGCCTTCCTTTTAAACACTATACTATAGGTGTACCAAGAGAAACATTTATTTCACATGGATCAGAGACAAAGGTCGCTGTAGATTATTTCAAAAATATAACAAACAAGAGAGAGAGAGAGAGAGATAGAGATATTAGCACTTTGACGATCTTTTAAAGATATTAAATGACCCACTACGATGAAAAATCCTTCCACACAACATTTTCAAATTCATGGCCTGTTACAACTGTAGTTTTCATCTTCACATCACAAACACATTGAGGACTGACCTCAAACTCAATCAGTTACATAGACTGGTACACGTATGTGTACACATTCTGCATGCTCATTAGGCTAACAATATCAAAATCAAATGGATAAAGTCATTCTGAGGCTTTATGAGCAGTTTGAATAAATTTCAAACCCCCCCCCTCCAACAACACAGGTATCTTCAAAAATATTTGTGTACTTTGCAATTCAGGACCAAATTATTATTAAATTGTCTGTGGTAGACATGACAAACGCACGACCTGCAAACAATTATAATTAATTATCATAATATTCGGCCCAAGAGAGAATTTCTGGTAGTCCATCCCAAGAACCTCCATAACACAGAAGCTTACCCCAATTATAAACAAACTTTATAGGCAAGGAAAGGTGCGAAACATCCAGCTCTAACAAATTGGCATGAGCTAAAATGAGCATTCATTCTGAATTGCTACCGGTACTATTTTAGCCTTCGCCTGTTTTAATTCATATCATTGTTTAAAAAAAGGTTTTGTGAGAGGTTTGGTTTTCCAATGCTCAATGAGCATTTATCCAGTTCAGCCTGCAACTTCATTCAAGTGTAAAATTCAAGTCCCCCCCCCCCCTCCCCCCACACCCCCAACAATTGAGTTTGACACACTTGGACTTGGTCCATGGCATACATTGTATATTATTTGTTTAGTTGTAGCATAAATTTTGCAAATGATGTCAATATTATAATAACATTCATATGAACATGCCTATTCCTACATGAGGCAAAAATTGCTCACACATAAAAAAAAAGTATCCATAATATAATAATCACCTCAAACCAGCTATTCATTCAAACAATACTCTTTAAACATGAAAACAAACAACCTCTAAATTTAATATAATTAATCTTTGATTAGACTGAGCAAAGTACATTCTGGCACGCACACAGAGCAAACAAGTACAGGTATAGCAAACAGATTTTCAGGTCCCAAATTTCTGATGTACAGTCAAACCTCTCAAATAGATACCTATCACCTTTACAAATGGCAACTTCTCATTCCCCCTTCCTAGTTTAAAAAATTTTTTTTAATGCAGACCTGCCACTCTATGAAATCTAAAAAAATCAGGATCTCAAGGGGAAAAAAATCGGGATCTAGGGGGGGGGAAAAAGACGATAAATCAGTACCAGGGTGACTGCCGAGCTGACTTAAAATTTTTCCTGCGACATCCATAATTATAATATATGAACTATGAAGGCAGAAAAAGTTTTCTGAAAAATCTGGTGCAACAGAAAGACAAAAAAAAAAATCAGGAAACACGCAATCGAAATCGGAATGCTTGTGAGATTAGGGGCAAAAAAATCGGGATATCTCGAATAAATCCGGATGAGTGACAGGTCTGTATAAAGACACAGAGTATGATGCCTGTCTAAGGTTACCACTTTTCTCCTCTACAATTGGTGGCCATCTTAAATCACACCATTTTGGCTGTATTTTCTTTGTATTCAAAAACAGGTGTACAGTCAAACCATGTAACTTATACCGCCTAGATCTACTTTGAAACGAGCACGAAGTTAGCAGAAGTACAGCTGCGCTGGCTGTACAACGAGGTTTTCATGTCCTCTGTTATTATGTAGCACCGACTGTTCAACATCACGGGTACTTACCAATCACTAGATCAGGTAATGAGTAACCTCCCTTCGATCAGTCATATAATTTGAGCATGAGTCTTAACGAAATAAAAGCGCCACATGCATTCCCGGGCTGTAAGTTATTGGGCTGATATCTGGCGATGCAAGATTTTTTACCACGGGCCGAAATGGCGAGGTTCCTTTAAAATTTCTTCTGGCGACTTAAGAAATTGCATTCCATTTTTTCATGTTGACAAAGGCCTAAATAGAATAGCATTTCATAATCAGTGCATCAAATTTAGTTGGATTCAAGTGGGGAGCAAAACTTGATGCTGAATTACAAAGTCATGTTTTATTCTAATTGTACCCTTTCGTGTTGCATTCGTTTTTGACACACTACATCGCTGTATCCTTAAAATCCACCAGACAAGGGTAGCGAGGAGGGATCAAATATCAGCGAAAAGCATTTGATCTAGACCTAGCTTGTATTCTTGTGCGTGTGAAAGATTGTCAAGCAACCACCTAGTGGATGTGCCGTGCCGTGCGCCATGTGTAGCCTAGAGTGTACCGGTACTGTGTACATCTGGTGGCCAGTTCGTTGGCAGTACTATGGGATAAATTTACAGTAGTTTAAGACCGTACAACTGAGACAGTTGGCGGATGGTGGGGGGTAAAGGCGCAAATACTGTGTTTATATAGGGGACTCTTTTCATACATTGGCAAAAAACCTGGTGGTAAGTGGGGCTGCAGTACGAGGTTTGACTGTAAAAAGGAAAATACGCTCCAAAAAAGTAAACGATTTTCGAATCTTGCCAATTTCTCTTTGTGTGCATGCTAATTATATTGAACTTGGTAAGTAAAGACTTGGTAAGTAAAGACCCTTGAACTTGAACACTGCCCAAACAATCCAAGTTTAAAAATGTCCCATTTTGTAATTCAAACTAGGGTCATTGGCAACACAGCTGAGCATGATACCAACTGAACTAAAGGCACACCTTAAGATTACTATGAAAAACGATTCATGAAGTCCGGATGTAATGTATTATGTGTGGGTAAAGTAAAGAATAAAATATATCATATGTATGAATCTGAATGACTATTCAGATTCATGTGAACTGATGCATATGAAATGGATAGAGAAAAAGTTGACATAACATTATAAAAAGCATGAGACTGAAAAAAAAGGTATCAATTCGAATTTATAATCACTCTAATTAGCAAATAATTGATAAACAACCTCTACAAACCAAAAAGAGAGAACAAAATGATTCACATGGTTAAGAACTCCCACATATGGTCCACATTTCTTCTGATACCTCTGCTTGAAATCAAACAACTTTAACACGCACGCACATATACACACAAACATGCATCCTACCAGACCAAAATCCACCACTGACCCAGGGCTTTTCCCTGGCCTATTTGAACGCCCCTACCCCATCACAGGAAAAAAATGTCAAAACATCCAACTAAACACACTCATACCATATCATATATGGCCCATCAAACTGAAGTTTAAAAAACAATCTATCAGATGGTGATACAATATTGAAGATTTATTTCAATTATAATAGTTTGGGGTTTCTAAAAGTAAAAGCGATTATGCAATGTCAAAGGTGTCATATGTGAAATCAAAAATTTTCCAGCTTTGAAAGGTCATATCTAAAAAAGTACAGTGGAATCCTGTTATAACGAGAGGGTGGGGACCGGAGCAAAATGTCCGTTATAGCAGGATTCTCGCTATAAGGGATCCAGTAATAAATTCAAGGGAAACTGTAAAGTAGGCCTAATCTATGAGTTTGGTGTTCTGTTTATTTCCTTTTGCTATACCCGTTGATGATGATTTTGTTTCAACATGACCTCTAGGTCTTACTTGATCAAAAATCGAATCAGGTTTCTTTTTCTTGCACTATATCTAGCGATGTGGACTGACAGCTCGGCGTTGGCGATCAGAAAGAAAGAGCTCTAGGCTAACTCGTCCGCTGTGTTTTCCCCCACTGTGGTGCATTCCGTCTGCTTGCGCACGTCACACATTCACTCCATCCATCACATTGCTGTGACCTCTCCATCCCCGAATCGGAGAAGTGAGAGGCATGGTAGGCCTTGATAATCTAAACTACGCTTACACTGGCCTATCATGCGATGCGTTCTGCTTGTCTGCGCATGCCACACCCTCCCTACTCAGTCGCTCTTGCCTTCATTGTTGACGCACATGGGCTCTCCCATTCTTTGTTTCGCTTGTTCACCAACTAGTTTCTCAACTGGCGAAGTTTTACTTATGTATAACTGGCCCATGCGAAGCGCACAGCAGCAGAAATATTCCGCTATAACCGACTCGCGTGTTTGTCTGATTGCGCTATAGCAGCAGTTTATTTACAAAGGTAAAGAAGAGAAAAAACGGGGTTTTAGATAGTGTCTTTATAACAGACTTCTTGTTTTTTCCGGACTCGTTATAAGTGGACTCCACTGTACAACAAAAGCATCATTCAAACTTCCCCGGTAGGTTGCCTCAAGTAATACAAAGAAATGCTGAAAGTTATGTATGTGTACCTATATAAAAGTTAAAATATGAGACATATATATACTGAAGTCCGGGAAGCGCTTTTCTTCTAAATTTTACGTTTCGAAGAGGACAAAAAAAGGGCCGAAATGACTGAAAATCATCTCTCAGTGCTGTATTGTCTTTTGTATCTGCTAACAGGAAGTCTATTCTATCATTTTGAAAACCTGGATCGGCCGAGAATTTCATTGCTGGATTGGAATAGATAGCGAACCACTCGAGCCATATTTTGCGGCTCTCGGTCCAGCGAGGCTAGGTCAGCGAGCCGTTGGGAAAGTGTAAAAGCCCTACTCACATTATGATCCCCCCACCCCCACAGTGGAAGTCAATTAAGGTGAGTTATTTTAGCAGATTATAAAATGACCTGCGACTAAAACAGTAGAAAACCTCACACCTTCAACCTTGCGTAAGTCTTGTTCTCCTTTCATAGCCTTTTACTCAAGGTCAACATTTTCTTTGTCTTTTGTCTCACTTTTTCGTTTTTGTCCTTATTGGAGAAAAATTAGAATCCTGCTTGCGCTTCTTTGTCTTCACAACAGCCATTGATTTCCAAACATCTTCCTCTTCATCATTTTCATCCTCATGAAAATCTTTCTTTACTTTACCCTCAACTCCATCACTGATAGCGGTTGGTTCCAAATTGTCTGATCCCTCTATCGTTGCATCATCGTGACCTGCAGAATCGTCAGGGGACCATTTCGATGAAAACAACAAACAGTTTAAAGAAGAATGCATGTAAACAGAATAAAGAGGGTGTTTGTGCTGTTCCAGGTCAAAACAATTCACAAATCTGTCTATACCACAACTTGCAAAGACAGGGCGCGATGGATGAAACTTTATATCTGTAACTCCACCACGTGATCCTTTGAAGCTTTTCACCACACCTTTCTTTCGAATGTCTAATAAGGCAATATTACCAAGAGTATTACCAACAACTACTTGATGCTCTACTCCTGGTCTGACAGAAAGTGCTGTAATTGGATTCTCTTCAAATTTCATTTCAAGGACAGGCCGCCTTTGAACACTTGATGGATCATACATCCTGATTTGGGCATAGCCAGTTCCTGTGATTACTTTGTCTCCTCCAGGAATAAATTGAACTTTCGTTTCCCACACAGGAACATGCAGATTCAGCCAGTCATTTTTAACATTTTTTGCTGTAAATGTGGGTGGCTGGTCGGGTTTCGTGATATCCCAGATCTTTAGAGGATTTTTCTTACCTCCAGTAGCAATCAGAGTCCTAGAGTTCAGATTAAAGTCCATACAATAAAGGTCATTTCCAGCACCGATTTCATGAGTAGGTCTACTAGGTGTGTTCTCTCCTTCTTCCCATGATATTTCTTCAAAATGGGCCACTTTCACCAAACCATTACTGAATGCTGAAATAAGATTCAAGTCTGGTTCTGAGTATCTAATTTCCTTCAGAGCTATCTTTTGTGACTGACTTGTATCAGAATGATGGTCCTCGTGCAGTTGAACACAAGAGGCCGATTTCAAAGAATAACAATACACACGTCCATATTTACAGCCAGTGCAAATAACTGATCTTTCGTCATTCCCCCAAGCCAGACAAGTTATACCCAATTCTTTCTTTGGTTCTTCAATCTGGTTAATTTGTGTTGCTGTCTTGTTCGACAGTAAACATCCTTTCAAAAAGCCTGTGTCCGACCCAGTGTATAAATCAAAAGGAAAATCGTCGTCAGCCATGATTCCTCTTTCATTCAATATTGTGTGCACATGTGGTAAAACGTACCTTTCAGTTTCTCTACTCTATGGCATGGACGCTGCCATATTGTACATTAAAAAGTATCTTCGGAAATCGGAATTCGAACTGTTGTTGTTTTTTCAGTAAAAAGAAGGAGTAAAATCACGAGGAACAAATAGATAATAGTTTTATTAAGCAGCTATTTAATCGGAATTTAATGCTGGCTCCACTTTTACTTTCTTAGAAAATATATCTCTGGGCGATAATATTTCGCTTGGATCTATTTCTATTCCATGAAATACATGTATCCTTTTGTAGGCTTGTTACTGAAAACATGTCATCGATAATCGTAGAATATCAAAATTTAGTTAAGGACCATATAACTTCCTTGAATTTAATACAGTGTTTCCTGGCGTCTTGTGCTTTGGTACTACCATAGTACATCTATGGGTAGGCTACTACACATACACGCTATTTAAATGAATGTACAAGAAAGGCTTACGTTTTTCGCAAGTCATGGCGAAATCTGGTGTCTCGATAACCTAATCTATATGAATGCGTCATGGGGCGATGAAGTAAAAGCATGGAAAACTCTAGATATTCTATGTTAGAGTTACAAGAAGATCGCACTCAGTGTTCCTGGGATCCCATGTTATGTAAAAATATACATAAGTGTTTGGGTGATTATCCACTATCACATCCTAAGTACATATTATGTTAATTTTATGGGATGGTACTGAGAAGACCTAAGGGTTAGGCTTTCTGAGTATCTGGATAGCCTAGGATGGGGGCATTTATTAGGGTAACGTCGTTAAAATCTGAAACAAAAATAAATATGCCTCTGGCCGCTTACTTTTTTAGAGTGTAAAATAAAAACTAGATCTAGTCTTTTGAGTCTTTACACTTTTCTTTTCCTGTGAATAATACTAAATACTCAAACAAAAAAATGAACTATGTTTTGTTTTTTTAACATGTTGGTGCTTCAACAGCTTATTCCACTTTCATTTGGCGCGTAAAAAAATTCTTGCTAATTTATCAATTTACGTCCGCTCACGGAACTTTGCATGGCACTTCTGCAGGCTAGGCCTAGCGACCAAACAAAAATACATGTTTTTGGGTTTTTTAAACTTGAACCGGTAATAAAAAGAAAGTTTTTCTCTTTGGGTCCTATTTTAAAAACCGCTCTTTGGGTGCACAGACAAGGTCACTAAAATAAATGTCTTACAGTAATTAATTTCCCTACAATTCAATAGCTACTCATTTTGAGACAGCAACTTGACACAACCTTTTGCCCCAACATTTTAATGCACTAAATTTTAAGCTTGTCTATTTATCATACCGCGACTGTCGAGGTAAGTCTCTTAAATCGTGTTTCTTTGGCGAACGTTAAAGTGTGGTTCTAAGGAAAATGTTAAATATGTCAACTTTTACACGCTTTAAGTTTTTATTTTACACTCTAAAAAGGTAGGGTACCAGAGGCATATATTTATTTTTGTTTCAGAGGTTAACGACGTTACCATAATAAATGCCCCCATCCTAGGCTATCCAGATACTCAGAAAGCCTAGCACTGCAAGGCGAAGAGAGTTATTCCCTTTTAATTCTAAAAGCCGCTACCTCAAGGAGTTTTGAACTGTAAACTACAGGGTAGTTAAAAATGAAGGTAAGATGAATAAACCAATGACAGAAATTATTATTGTAATGTAGCATACTTTTTTTTCTTACAACAACGGAGCCTTACGGGATTTAGCTCTAGCAAAGCTGTCAATTTTGGTTCGTAGTCCAATTTTCGCGCTGGACTAGCCTCTATGGCCATTAAAGTTCCAAGACTTGGGAGTTTGTCTTGACACATTGTGGACCGCAAAATGTTTTTCACCCGAGAAAGGGTACTGAAGGACCGTTCAGCTTGCGCAACTGTGACAGGCAAGGTGCAGAAGATTCTCATCATGATTACAACGTTCGGAAACAAAGTATCCAGTTTCAGGGAATGAAGTCTGTTCAGCAACTGAAGAGGCGGCAGGACATTTTCTACTATGTTCGCCGAATGAATCACTTTCAAATGTTCCAACTCTTGCGCAAGGGCTGCTGATGCATCCACTGCATATTCCGTGTGCAATTTTTTTGCAAGATCTCTAATAACGCCGACTTCCTCTTGGGGATATTTCCACAAAACACTAAATAACGAATCGAGTTTTGTCACTGCATTATACCTTGTCGTCAAATTTCCAAGAAGGTAGTCAATGAGGACATAAAAAAACTTCATGTTTGAATTTTTTGTCGGGATTTTGGCAGTCTGTTACATCTTCTGTCTCGTCTGCAAAAGCTTCCTTTTCTTTTGTCGTTTTGCTGTTTCGGCGAATGAATGCTCAATCTCATAGTTATCTGCTATCAATTTGGACTCACTCAAGATTGCGTCCCATTCATCTCGTGAGCTTTTCAGATCTTTAATCAGACTATAATTGATTATTTTTGCCACCTCAACGTCAAGCGTCGCATCTCGTGCTTGAAACACTCTATTTCTGTGATCGATTGCAATGAGGATGTTGTGCCTAACAGATGCCATTATCATTATCACACATTCAAATGATGCAAAGTGATTGCAGTGATGATTTTGTGCCAAACAGATGCCATTATCATTATCACACATTCAAATGATGCAAAGTACTTAAGAATACCAATCATATTTGAACGTGTTTCAGGGGTGAGGTTTATTTGAAGAGTCTGCGCCGGGGAACATCGAATGCTGACGTCATTTTACCGGGGAACAGCGACCGGGGAACAGCGACCGGGGAACAGCGACTAGTATTTTACTATATTTCTTTGTTACTGTTGAACTTGGTGTAATCGCCTACAGTATCGAATACAATTAGACCAAACATGTTACATTTCGTCTCGATTTTCAGTATAAGCTTAACCAGAGCTCAGTCAAATCTCCCGCCAATCTGTTCATAAGGAGGAACAAGAAAGAGAGAAGTTGATCACAGCGTAAAGCAAGAAGGAGCTGTCGCAGGGAGAATTTTAAAGAAAAATTTCTTTTAAAATGCTGTCAGCTCAGTAGCAAGTTTGAAAACAGTCTCCAGAATAATCTTAGAGTCTGAACTTTTGTTTCTCTCTCTTTGCATTGTCCTCTTCAGGTGGATGTCAACATTTTCAGTGTAGGTGCTGCGATTGCAAATCTCCGTTTCATCGTTGTTTTCCGATTTGACATTGTTTCTCCATGATTGGTTTATCATACTTCTACACGATCATACCCTTATTCACAGGATCACACACACACACAAGCACACACACACACACACACACACACACACACACACACACACACACACACACAAACACACACACACACACACACACACATACACACACAGACAATCACATAAATTTATCATTGGTGTTATTTTATTAAACATACATGTACGTGTGTGTATCAATAAAGTACAAATACAATGAAAACAAAAACACCAAGTTTACAAGCAAATAAACAAACAGGCACACGAAATTTAATGGGAGTCATTAATGTATGAAGCATAGATGTACGTGTGTGTATCATTAAAGCAAAAATAAGATGAAAACAAAAACACCTAACTAACAAACAAATAAACCAACACGCACACGGATTTATGATGGAAGTCGTTTTATGAAGCATACATGTACGTGTGTGTATCAGTAATGTAGAAATGGAGAGAGTAAAAAAGAAAACAGAAACAGAAACAAAAAACAACCAAACAAATAAAAACACACCGGCACACGAATTTCTACTTGGGATCATTTCATAGCAAATAGAAATATAAAATTATGTACATGTGTGTATTGTGTATCGGTTTAAAAAAGATCCCTGGAAGATCATTAAAAAAACAGAACAATCAGAACCAAATATACGGGGCTCTCGTGGTCTAGAGGTACGCCTTCGCTTCACATTCAATAGGTTCCAGGTTCGACCGACAGCGACGGAAACATTTTTTTTTTCTATAATGTTCTCTTTTCACCTCCTTTCCTTTTCTCTAGACATGTAGAAATAGTCAGGAACAAAGGAGAGAGGAGCCCACTGGCCGGGGGTGGGCCGGGTTAGAGCGAGAAAGTGGAGATGAAAGCAGACGACAGAACGTACTGCTTCTCCTTGCTCCTTCTTACTACTGTCTTTCAGTCACACATCCCTGATCTTAGGGTAGGAGTGACCGAACATTTGGCTTTCTCGAAAGGGAAAAATATCTCGGAGGTCCCATGTGCAAGCTGCGCACTTTAAGTTCTCTTGGTGGTTCTAAAATTGATAAGAGTAGGCTTCGGCCGCCACCAAGGCAAAATTCAAAATTAATTCATACCAAAACCTGAAAATACTGTAGTCAGTATAAAGACATAAAGAGTACCTTCGAAATCTAAACGTGGCTGCCTGAAAGCAAGGGGCCCTACGAAGTATGAAAAGCGGTTACATACGTAAAAATCAATTGTACTGCAGGTACGAGTAGCAGTCGACTTCCCCTAAGGTCTAGAGGAGGGAGAAGAAGAAGAAGAAGAAGAAGAAGAAGAAGAAGAAGAAGAAGAAGAAGAAGAAGAAGAAGAAGAAGAAGAAGAAGAAGAAGAAGAAGAAGAAGAAGAAGAAGAAGAAGAAGAAGAAGAAGAAGGAGAAGGAGGAGGAGGAGGAGGAGGAGGAGGAGGAGGAGGAGGAGGGGGAGAAGAAGAAGAAGAAGAAGAAGAAGAAGAAGAAGAAGAAGAAGAAGAAGAAGAAGAAGAAGAAGAAGAAGAAGAAGAAGAAGAAGAAGAAGAAGAAGAAGAAGAAGAAGAAGAAGAAGAAGAAGAAGAAGAAGAAGATTTGAGGAGGAGGAGGAGGAGAATGAGAAGAAGGAGGAGGAGGAGGAGGAGGAGGGGGAGGACGAGGAGGACGAGGAGGAGGAGGAGGAGGAGGAAAAGGACGTGGACGAGGAGGAGGGCGAGGAGGAGGAGGAGGAGGAGGAGGAGGAGGAGGAGGAGGAGGAGGAGGAGGAGGAGGAGGAGGAGGAGGAAGAGGAGGAGGAGGAGGAGGAGGAGGAGGACGAGCAGGATAATGACGACGACGACGAGGAGGCGGACGAGGAGGAGGAGGAGGACGAGGATAAGACGAAGAAGAAGAAGAAGAAGAAGAA